TCACTCTTATCAGCCAAACGGAAGTATAAAACACTACCCTCCTGCCCTCTTAGCACAGCAGATGTTGGAATGACACAGCAATAGCTGCAAGATAAGCAAACAGAAAGGCAACAGAAAAATTTCTTGCTGATTAATTGAAGAGGAAACTGAGGAGAAAGAAAAAGCAGGAATTCCCCGTGCAGGAACACGTCCACTGGCTGCTCATGAATGTTGGAGCAGATCTATGCAGCGTATTCTTAAGGTGATTGGATTTGAATTTGATGGTGATACATGAAATGTAAGTAGACAAATTAGACAAACAAAAAAGCCTCTCCATCATTGCCACTGAGCTTTTAAAAGCTTTGTTCTCCCCAGAAATAGTACCAATTTTCTAATTCGCTGCCACCTTATGGCATTTTGGAGAGCTAACACTTCAATAATTTCCATCAGATGCTTCGTGTTTTCAGGCACCCTCTCTGAGAACTTGGATGTGACAGGAACACTTTGATTTTGAATCACTGCAGCTGTAAAACCGCCCTTTGCATCCAGATTTGGAACAATATTAATGCCTAAGACACAGGATTATTCTTGCTTGTGAAAACTGATCATTAAAGCGTCAATTCTATTTATATTTGCGGATTCTAAAGGGAGGTCATTTCATCAGCCAAGGGGCCAAAAATAAATATGAACTTTGCAATGTTATCAAAAGAGAATCTTTCAATCTAAAAAAGCCACTAGCTCACTCATGACTTCCCTAAATGAATTTAATTCAGTGCATTTCTGACATTGAGGATGAAAGCTTAGCAGATACCCTTCCTTATGTGTTAATGGTTTTTCTGACAGCAGCCCTAGCTAAGGAGATAATCCATGAAAAGATAAACAGAAATTGGAGATAGCCAATAGCTTTTTGTCTCTTCAAATAAATAATAATCCTACTGTTAAATATACATGCGTCGTTTCATTCTAGATGAGAAGACAATATGACTGAAATAGGGTTTTGAGAGTTCACTGCTATTACAGTGAAATATGGGCAGGACTGCCTATAAAAGAAGAAGAACTACTGGGATATCAGTAGTGCATTCCCCAAGTGGACGGGCAGGGTTGGTGTTTTAGAAAAGCAGGAGTACCAGTAACTGGGAGTTGGGGTTTGATGCGGTCTGTTTTTGGTACAGGGAGATGGGTGGTTTTAGTGAAGGGCTGCGCCACGCAAAGGAGTGTAAACATGAAGCATTTTCCAGAATTGGCCTTGTTCTCTGCATGTGCATGAAGTTGATTTTCCATTTGTATTACCAGCTTGCAGACTCACCATAAAAAGGACATTTTTCACATAGATACTGGCAGGGTAAAGTACACATGGGCTTGGTTTTTATATACTATTATTACAAAGAGCTCCTTCTCCTCATGATACTTTTCTGCCCACCCACTTTGTCAAGACACAAAGCTTGGCTATCTCTCTTAAGTCAGTGCCACCATTTATATGGTTTTTCTAAAGAATTTTGTCAGTAAATAAGAAAGAGAGAATTGCGTTGGCATTGGCGCTCAAAACCAAAAAAGCCCCAATTTTAAGCTCAGCTCTAAAAGATGACTGGAATGCCTGCTGGTGCATTTCAGATAGAGGAAGGCTGGATGCTGCCTCCTTCCATGGCCTCTTTATCATCTTATGGAAGATCGCTCTTTAGAGAACTAAGCTCCCTCCCTGACTGATTTTGGCTGGGGTAAGCAGCTCTACTAAAATGGGCCAAAAATACCATTGTGGACATTGGCAGCTTGTTGAGACCACGTCTCAGGGACATTTGATGCATAATGAGTACAGTAAGGTACCATGGGGTGTGGCAGTACCATGAGAACTCTCATTTCAGACAGTCTACTCTTTGCTAGGGCACGGCGCTCTCTGCTTCCAGTTCCCCTGCTGCATTGGAAGCTCACAGTGAATCAAACCTTAAAAGTGCAAAGTCCTTTGTAGTAGGTAAAATAATTCATCGCCTATCAGGCAGGAAAAAGGCTCTAGCCAGGGTGAGCAGAGCGCTGAGTGGGGCTGTTTTGAGAGGCTAAGTTGGTTTTTTGCTTTGGAACAAAGCTGTTTTAAAGGATAAATTTTAGCTGCTATTGGCCAGATCTTTGTTTTCTCACATAGCGATGTCATTTAGAATGGGACTGGGGGGAAAAAATATGTTGATATTTTGATGTTGATGTGTTGAAAAGAATATGGCAATATGTTGATACCTTGAAAAGAAAGGAGCAGTTCGTTTAGAATCTCTGGCAAGAAGTGCTGCTGCTAGCCCAAGTTATTTTGTTTGTGGTACAAACTATTCTGGCAAGAACACGCTTTTTTAGAACAGCATAAGCAAGTGGGACCCAAAAAAGAGGGCTGCTGAGTGATTTTACTAAGGTCACAGCGGTAGCAGCACTCCAGCTCCTGCTCTGCCCCAGCTGCTGTCCTGTGGAAGCCCGCAGGCCCCGAGGAAGGACAGGCTTCTCCAGAGGTCACAGCACTGCCTGGACATTGGCCAGCACCAAGCAAAACCCTCTCATGGTGGCACCAAGACATGGACACAGGGCCATTTTAGTGGCTCTGATGTAAACTGTGTTTCCTATTTGCTTGCGGTCGCTGAGCTGAGAGGACTTTGCACATCCTCACCTTCTTCCCCCTTCCCTCAACTGGCTTTCTGCTATTGCAGGTTTACCACCACGCGTCCTTTCCGTTCATAACCTCAAGGTGATTTCTGGCCTTGCTAACACAGTCATGGTGCAAACTGCCTCTTAAAAGAAGCAATTATATTCCATGGCCAGGGATTTTTTGAGCCAAACGTACCCAAGACTTAAAGCCACAACACTCAATGCAACAGCACTGGGGAGGGTTTAAGGCTTTTCATTTTACATGCTTAGTAGAACCAGGAGGGAAAGCTTTGTGCTCCCACACGGAGGATGATGGCATATCACCCGGTGGTTTACAAGCACAGTACTATCTAGCGGCATTCTCAAGGCTCTCTTTTCGCACAGCTCGTCCGGATCCAGCTTCACACCTCGCTCTAACTGCACGGGCAGGACACCTGGTCACAGCGGCTGAACGGTCACAGCAGCCGCACGGAGCCGGCGCCGCCGCCCCTTCCTGACTGGAACCCCGTTGCCGCCAAGCCCCTGAGGCGAGGGCCGCCCGACGCCCGTTAAGCAGGTGTTCACCATGTCTGCACCGCTTAACGGCCTCTCTCCCGGAGCCGTGACTAGCTCCCGAGGGTCACCCGGCTGTTTTCACGCAAGGAGCCACCACTCGCAATTCTCAGTCCCACGGAGGATACCGCAGACCCCCATGCCCAAGGGCGGCGGCGATCAAACCCCATCCCCGCCCCACCGGCCCGAGCATGCGCCCTCGGCCCGCATCCCCACCCTGCGCAGCCGGTGAGGTCATGAAGGTGAGAGGGGCGGCGCCCGCCACTGCCGTGCCCCAATGGGAGCCGGCTCTGGTGCCGGCCCGGCCTGGGTATTGGTCGAGAGCTGGCAGCTGGCTGCCGTCTTCGGGCCGCCTCATCTCCGTGAACCAATCGCAGCTCTCCGTCGCGCGAGCCAATCGCAGCTAGGGCCCGCTCTCCGCCTCGGGCTGCGGCTTGAAACCGTCCCAGGGCTGTGTAATCGAGACAGAACGCCCCGCGATTGGCTCTCCCGCTTCGGCACTCTTCGGGTTGGCCCGGTAATAGCCGGAAGAGAGACCTTCTTCCTATTGGCCACCCGACCGCGCTGCTAGGGCGGTGGCAGCGCTTTCCGATTGGGCCTGTGCATCTCTTCGGGGAGATTCGGGTGCGCCCGTAAGGGCTTCCCGATTGGTTACGACTCGTCACAGGCATTTCCGTAACGGCCTTAGGATTGGTCCCGACGAGGCTCGGGTATTTCCGTAAGGGCCTCGGGCTGGGGGCTAACGAGTGCGTCGGGCGCTTCGGCTGGCTATTCACAGAAGGTGCTTAGGGCCGTTCCGCAGCGTAGGGCGGCGACGGGCATAGGCGGCTGCGCGGCTTTAGCGCACACAGAGAGCGCAGGAGCGGGAGCCCGGCACGCAGCGGAGGCAGCAGCGGGGACAAAGGGACCGATCAACAGAAACGGGGAGGGGGGCCCGGCGAGAGGCAGCCGGCGCCAGGAGGGAGCGGCAGGAGCCTTCAGCCGGGCGGACGGCTCCCATGCGCCTCGGACGCCCGGGAAAGCAACAGCGAGAGCCGCCGGCGCTCTGAAGCCGGCCGAGGAGGAGCTGGGAGCCGCCGCCGCCATGGCCCGCGCCGCCGCCGCCGGCCACCACCCGCACTGCAGCCTGTCCAGCCTGAGCCGTCGCCAGCTGCCCCTGCGGGCGCAATGAGGAGCCGCGCCGAAGCCGCCGCCTCAGCGCCGCACTGAGAGGCTTCAGCCAGCGAGGGAGTGAGGCCGCCCGCACCGCTTCACCCCACTCCTCCCGCCGCGGATCCCGCCGCCGCTGCCGGATCCCCTTGCGCGCGGTCGCATCGCCTCCCGTCGGCAGATCGAGCAGCCCCGAGATCCCTCCGCCGGGGGAAAAGTAGTCCCGCCGCCTCCCTTAGAGGCGAGGGGGGAAGGAGAGGAGAGGGCAGGAGGGAAAGAGAGGAGAGAGACAAAAAAAAAACCCAAAACAAAACACAAAAGCAGAGGAAAAAAAAAAAAAAGGAAAAAAGACAGAAAGGGGAAAGGAAGGGGAGAAGAAGAAGAGAAGCCGAGCGGCAGGATCGGAGGAGCCGGGCCGCGAGCCTCCGCCCCATGTGACTGGGCTGAGGGTGGGGGCAGCGAGGCCTAGCACACCCCCGCTGCTCGCGGCCGGCCCGGGGGGCTGCGGCTGGGCGGAGGCGGCTCTCGGAGCTCACCGGCGCGGCGGGAGGATGGCTCTGTGAGCGCCGGGCGGCGAGGAGGAGCGCGGCGAGAGAAGAAAGGAGACGCGCGGAAAGGCCGGCGGGGCAGAGAGCGAGGGGAGGGGGCTTCCCCGGGGGGGAAGGGGCCGGCGGTTCATGTGGCACAGCTCGCCCTTCGCCTCCCGCTGAGCCCGCAGCCGAGCGCCCCGCAGCCAGCCCCAAAGGAGAGCGGAGGAGGCGGACAGCCCGTCGGGACGCAGCCGGAACCGGAGACCATGTCCGGGCGGCCCAGGACCACCTCCTTCGCGGAGAGCTGCAAGCCGGTGCAGCAGCCCTCGGCGTTCGGCAGCATGAAAGTCAGCCGTGAGTATCGGGCCGCTCCCAGCCGCCCTCCGGCCCTGCCCCGCGTTCGGCTTGGGTGGGCCGCGAGCTCGGCCGGGCCTGCGGGACGTAAAAAGGCCGTTCCCGGCCCTGCCCTCGGTCCCTGCTGGCCGTGCCTGCGAGGGGGGCTCCTCGGGGCTCCCGCCGCCCCGTTTGGGCTTTGTGCCTCGGGGAGGAGGGGATGAATGACGGGGCACGCGGGTACGGCCGTGACGTTCGTCCCCGTTGAGGTGTTTTGTGCCCTCTGAAGGAGGGAGATGGGAGAGGTGTGGGGAGAGCTGTGTATGGGGTGTGGGCGAGCCACGGCCCGGCCTGTTAAAGGGGAAAGAAATGGCTGGGGAGAAAAAGGGGGGGATTACAAAGGCTGTCTGAGGGGGTTACAAAGGCTGTCTGGTACGCTGCTAACGATCCCCGATGGAGGGAATAGGGAGATCCTCATTGTTGCATGTGAGTGGTTGTTTGGGGCTGAGGATGTCTTCTCCAGGTTTCCTCGAGGGGAATATTTTTGAGAATGAGGCCTGTGCTTTATTCTGCACGGGCATGCTGGAAATGATCAGTGCTTGATACGTGCCCATCCATCGCGTCGCAGCTGGTGGGCTCGGCCATGCTATGTGAATGGAGAATGGGCATTGCTTCTCTGTATGACCGGAGAAAGGCCCGGCTCTGGGTCACCTATGATTAACTATGTATCCGGAATGGCAAATGATTTCTGAAGGCCTCTTTTGAATATGTGCCTGTTAACAGCTCAGTCGTTGCCAATTCGTGCTATGGGCTTTGTTTTCAGTAATATTCCCCTTTTTTTTTCTCTATGGAAACATAGGGCAGGATCTTTATGGGACCTGGAGGGCTCAATGGTTCGGTATCGCATCTGATCACACCTGACACTGCTGTGTGTGTGTGTGTTTCTCGGTGTTGGAAGCTTTTTATGCCAGGACTCTGCCTGGCTGTGGGCTTTTTGACAGATGAGAAATTCTGACGTTTTTCTGCACCGAAATGTACTTCCGCTGCGGTTGAAGCCTTGAGGAAAATGTTGGGCTGAGGTTCTAGAGCTGCTTTGTATCTGCATGATCAGTGTGCCTGCTGCACTCTGAAAAACACGGAGTGCCCTTTATACTCTTATGCCGCTAATATGGGTTATGTATGATCTGGTTAAAGTGTATTAAAGATCTTAATTCACACTGGGGGGAAAGATATGTATGACTCCATTTTAATTTATCGATTTACTTCGTGTGAGTGTGGAATAGGAAGCAGGTTTTGTTGATGGGTATTTCTGCAGGTGGCTGTCTAACGCTAGCCAGAGCATTGGCCCTGCCATGTTCTGAAGCTGAATTTGCCTTATTCAAGCTCTACGGCTCAATTCTTGAAAGGTCATTGATGCTCCTTTCCTGTTTGGTTGAGGTCAGAGACTAGACAGATGCTTGCCTGTGAAGCGGGTGCTAACTGATGCAGACTAACAAGTTTGCAAATACGATTTGATCCCAAGTGTATAACACTGAGGGAGAAACAAAGGCCGTAGCATAAAGCACACGCACTTGTGATACCCCCCCCCCTCCAGTCGCTCTAGTCATGTGCTCCTGGTCCTTCTGCTGTCTGGAAAAAAATGTCAGAACAAAGCAGGAGAACCGCATGCAAGGACTCTGTGGGAAAGGCAGTTCATATTTTCAATTAATCTATCTGTGTAAGACAGTGCAGGAAGTTTAAACTTTTTTTTTTTTTTTTTTTCCCTTTGTAAAAGAGAGGCCCTGCTGGTTGCCAAAAAGGGAAATATTTTTCTTGTTCTCTTGAGTTTCGGTAGCACCTGGTGGAATGATGGAGCAAGCCATCTATTACTGCTGTTGACTGCTTTGAAAAAAAGCCTGGTGTGGTGTACAGAGATTTTGCTGGCCTCTTTTATTTTAATGTGTGTTCATACCAATACTTAATAACATTCTGTACCCTTTTGAGTGAAAGCTGGGATAAAAGATTCCTTGTGAAGCAGGTGGAAATGGATGGATTGCTCTTCTTTGAGTCTTGTAGGCAGCTTTTATATCTCCATTTTGGTTCAGACTTTCTCTGGGTCACCAGGAAGCAAAAACCTAGCCTGCTCGATGCCAACCTCGTTGCTCTCCTTTGTGAGGGCTGGAGTAGTGGTGAAATGATGCGGTGAGGTCATGCCTGCTTTGGTGATAACCTTCTGGTTGAGCCTGGCAGTAGTTCCCTAGGAAGAAAGGACTCAAAAGATGAGGTGGAAGCACTGCTGAAGGAGTGGAGGAGGGCTTGCTGGACTTTGTGTTAAGAGAGTTGGAGTGCAGGGAGTGTGGTGATTGCTCTTCTGCTCAGGGTATGCAGGGGGAAGGGGTGAGCAGGCATTGTCTTTCCCATCTTATTAGACTGTGCTCGGAAGTTGATGAGAAGCCCGAGCCTTGAATGGGAGGGGATTCCCAGCAGGTTCTTGTCCTCTGGCTTCTGAAGAAGGTGACTACCCAGGCATGCTGCTCTCATTGCTCTGTAATAGTTGTTAGTTACAAGTGTTTTACAGTTGTTGTGAGAATAGGAACCTCGAGGCCTTACCATATCTCTTTCAAGGTGTACCAGCATCAAGAGTCCCTATGAGATCTGCCTCTTTTTTTTGGTGTTTATATTTTTGGTGGTTTTTAAATCGTTCCGTGTTTCTTTGCACCCCACCATATGGGTTTCTGTGCTGAAGTAATTCCCAAGTAGCTTATTCTCTGTTCAGGTCTTTGTTGCTGGCTTTGTAGGTTTTTCTTTGCACAAAAAAAATGTGTGTTTTTAGGTTGAGCCCGTAGGAAGTGCGTGGTATGGCAAAGATCATGGTTGTGAGAGTGTAGCTGTTATCTTAATGTCTAATAGTGTAAGAAATCAACTTCAAAATCAGGTGATGAATATGTAAATCAGAAGCTTGCAGTTCTCCACATGCTGATGCTATCTACCTGCTGATTATAGCATAAGAGAAGAGGTATGAGCTTAAAGCTTGCTTGTGTTCCTCATCTAGGTGTTCTTGCATTGGATGTCATTTCCCAAATTGGACAAAAATAATACTGAGAAACAAAAGGTAGTCATGCAACACATGACCCAAAATATCTATAAAAATAGAAGTCCCAAAGTTTGGTTTGCAAATTTTCATCTAATGACTGTGGAATTGATTCTTTTTTTTTTTTTTTTTTTTTCCCCCTGTCCCTCCCCCTTTTCTTGAGCTTCTGGAAAGTGTTTATTGCAGACCAACAAAATCTGCTGCAATTACAAGTACTGTTGTCTGCTAGGCTTGGTATGACTTAAAGGCTCATGGCTAACCTTGCCTCTTTGTTCCATGGTTTGAGTACCATGGCTTTGTAACAGTTTATGCAGAATTTGTTCACGTAGAAGGTGAGGAAGACAAGTTTATTTGCTTTAGTTAGTTCTCACGTATGCCTAATTTTAGTTGCAAAATCTGAAGGACGGTTTTGCAGTAACTCATTTTGGACTCTCTGGAAGAATGTTATACTGATCCCAAAGAGGATTTTGCTGAGATTTTTGTATTCCTTCTAGATTCAATGTTGTTTGTTGTTCTTGTTGTTCTGTTTGTGTGTGTGTGTGTGTGTGTGTGTGTGTGTGTGTGTTGTATACTCTTCCAACAGGACAGTAGGATGGTAACCCTGCATTTGTACATGGTAGAACTGCTGATGTGTGAACCTGATGCATCTCTCAGTACAGTGGTGCTTTCAGAAACTGTCCCTTGAAGGATTAAAGCCTGGGAATTGGTTACTCCACTCGTAAACCAGTACATAAATGTTTGGCTGCTTTTTTCAGGTGGAATGTGGTGTTTAATACTAGACGATGCTCAAGTTGAGCTGTAGGAAGATAGGTTGGAAAAGCACCCTGGGCAGCTCCAGCGAGAGGAACGAGTGGGACTGATGAAACTGGCCCAATGGCTGGGTTAGCGCTGCCTTGTTTCTCAATGTAGTTAGGGTAGGGCCCTCTCTGTTGCTTTGATAGCAGTTTCTGCCTAATTGGTTTCTGAAACTGGAAGCCGCCCATCCTGCTCTCCTTGCTGGAGAGAGGAAGAGCACTCCCTTCCAGAAGCCTGCTGAGAGCTGTGCGGCTGTGCCTAGCCCTGTCCAGCTTTCTGGCTGCTGCTGCAGCAGGAGTGGCTTTCCTCCTGCCTGACACTTACAAATGGTAACAATAAAAATGGGACCAGCTGAGGTCTGCTGATGGCCACGTGTACTGCGGTGCCCCAAAGTCATGCCTTGCAGCCTGATCAGGAGACTGACGGCTGTCTGTGGTACCTCATTCTAACGCTGGCTATTTTCTCTTTACTCCTGTTGTTAGGGGTAGTTGAGCAGAAGAAAAACCTATTACGAAAATGAAGCCTGCCAATGGAACCTGCCAAATAATAATTTCATTAATTCTTCCTCTGTGTCCCCACGTCTTAGGTGTGTGGGTTGATTTATTTTATTTTATTTTTTTATTTTATTTTTTTTTTCTCCTCTTGTATCACTAACCTTCTGTCACTAATCTGCACGCTGCTTCTTCCCTGTACTGTATTCTGGAGGTGATTTCCTGTTGTATTATCACTCGATTTACCTTTTCTATTTCTTAGCAATACCATCTCATTCACCTTTTTCTTATGCTCTGTGAGATTTTATGGCTGTGTTTCATACCTACATGCATCCTGGTTCTGGAAGTTGTTATTCCACTTTATCCCTTAACTTGATAGGGTCTTGTAGGTATCACACAGTATGTGTTTATGTACTTTGATCTCTTGAAGGGTAAGACAAGTATTTCCTTGAGATCTGTACCTAAAGACTACCTCCCTGGCTGAAGGGTTTTCCGCTACTGCTCCTAAAGCTCTCTAATTTTGATGTACTGTATCTGCAAGTGCTATTTTAAATAGCTCTTTCTTTAAATGACTTCCCAGTATTGATGTCTAATGTACTCATCACAGTTCATAATTCCAAAATTTGGGTTATTGGCTGTTGCTGCCCCTCTACCCTGTGCTCCTC